GGGCAATGGTGGTAAGGACATGAGAAAACTGGATGGATTTAGAGATGTCTGTTCAGCTTTAAAGTACTTTACTCAATTGTGCTACCTGGGTCAGGCTATGAGTTTGATTTAGAATACAAGTCTATTCCCAGCAGAGTTAGAGGGCAAACTGACAAGAACCTATTTATTCAATAATGTGTGTTGAACTCTCACTATATTGTGCTGGATGATACCAATTAGGTGAGACTAATTGAATGAAAGCCTATATATTTCTACTGAGTCAGTAACCATTTTAGGTTATATAAGAACCCACCAATATTCAGAAATCAAAACAGATATGTTTCTTGTTTTGAGGTTTGTTTAAAGCCATAATGATCACAAAGATGATGAGTTCTCATACCTATTTCACAGGGACAACTAGGAACCTATTTTTGTTGCTTTTTGTTTTTCATAGTCAAATTCTTAAGCTCGCATGCCAAAAATGTACTTCTAATAGACTTTTCCCCTGGTCAGCATTCCTTGAGAAATATTATGACTGTTTTAATCAAGGTATTGTTTAAAAAAAAAAAAAGGTTGGGGTGGTTTAGAAAGGACAGTTAAAATGGTATTAAATGTACATATAATATCAAAGCCAGAAGGCTGCTGTTTTTGTAACAAACTAGATTCAACAGTGTTTAAAAAAATCTGCTGTGTTTTAGGAATTTATCCTACAGATACATTTGCACGTGTATGAAAGAACCAACTTACAGAAATAGTCCGGCATCTTTATAGTAGTAAAAGATTGAAAAGAATCTAAAAGTCCATCAATAGGAGACTGGCTAAACGAAATTCGCTATATCCATTCAATGGAGTACTACATAACTTTTAAAATGAATGAGGTGGCTATGCAGGTATCTATATAGCTTTTTTTTTTTTTTTTTTTTGAGACAGGGTCTTGCTTTGTTGCCAGGTGCCAGACTGGAGTGCAGTAGCCCGATTTCAGCTCACTGCAACCTCCGCCTCCGGGGTTCCAGCAATTCTCCTGCCTCAGCCTCCTGAGTAGCTGGGACTACAGGCATGCGCCACCATGCCCAGCTAATTTTTGTATATTTTTTAGTAGAGATGGGGTTTCACCACGTTGGCCAGGATGGTCTTGATCTCTTGGGCTCATGATCCACCCTCCTCGGCTTCCCAAAGTGTTGGGATTGCAGGCGTGAGCCACTGCACCCGGCCCTATATAGCTTTTATGTTTTTTTGAGACAGGGTCTCACTCTTGTCACTCAAGGTGGAGTGCAGTGGCATGCTCAGCTCACGGCAACTTCTGCTTCCGGGTCTCAAGCAATCCTTCCACCTAAGTAAGCCTCCCAAGTAGCTGGAATCCCAGATGTGAGCCACCACATCCAGGTAATCATTTTTTGTTTGTTTGTTTGTTTTTGTTTTTGGTAGAGAAGGGGTCTTGCCATGTTGTTCAGGTTGGTCTCAAACCCCTGAGCTCAAAGTATTCTGCCCACCTTGGCCCCTCCAAGTGCTGGGATTATAGGCATGAGCCACTGTGCCTGTTAAGTATCTATATAGCTTTAAGATACATTTCTAAAGAAAAAACACAGTGCAGAACAGTGTGTATATGTACAAAGGGGGATGGTTTCATGTACACACATAGATTTACATACTTACTTTGCTTATGCATTGAATATTTCTGAGCTATATAGGCCATAGGACAAAAATGAGGTTTAAATGGGCAGGAGTCAGGTGAGCAAAGAGCATTTCTTTTCGCTATATATTCCTTTGCTTTATTTTTGTTGTTAACGCTCAAAATAAATGGATTTTTTTTTTCCTGTAAGGATGAACAAAAACTTGGTTTTTATTTAACACCATTTCATTGATTTTCTAATGTACATATAACTTTTTTGTTTTTTCACCTTCTCAACCCAGCTTTTCCTGACTCTGGGAAGAGAAGGCCTATAACTTTATTTAAATTAGGATTTGACTGGCAGTGGAATTATAGGGTTTTTTTCTCCTTCCTTCTTTATGCTTTTTAAGAATTAAATAAAGCTGCATTGGTCATCTACTTCTGTTGTTTAGGAAACAGTACCAGGGTCATGATCTGTAGAGGTCAATATTCCCTTAAGGTTTAAGGTTATACAGATTGTACCTCATTTGGAAAGCTTCTTAATCTAACTTTATTGGCTTAAGATGTAATGTCTTTTGCCCTGTAATGCACCCATGTATCATTTCCTCAAGTACTAGTAAAATGCTTAGGAAAAGGCATAGGCTTTTCAAATATTATCATGCTGCTTAAAGACACAATTTCCTGGGCCTGGATTCTGTCCATTAAGAGAAGGGGCAACAAAATGCTTTGTTCTCTTGGTGAAGGTAACAGAAGTGCAGAGCATTAAGAAAATGGCATAAAGGGATAATCAGTTTCACAATGTGAATATTCAGAGCAAAATCCATGCTTCAAAGGCACAGTTGGTGAAAAATTACTTGTTTCGACAAGTAATCTAGACTTTTCCAATTAACTTTCATTTATACCTACTTTCTTCCTGTAACATTTTCTATTTATTTATTTAGAGACAGGGTTTCTCCATGTTGGTCAGGCTGGTCTCGAACTCCCAACCTCAGGTGATCTGCTCGCCTCAGCCTCCCAAAGTGCTGGGATTACAGGCGTGAGCCACTGCATCTGGCTTTTTTTTTTTTTTTTTTTTTTTTTAAAACACGGTCTTGCTCTGTCACCCAGACTGCAGGGCAGTGGCATGATCATGGCTCACTACAATCTTGACCTCCTGGGCCCAAGCAACCCTCCCACCTTGGCCTCCCGAATAGCTGGGACTACAGGTGTATACCACCATGCCTGGCTAATTTTTTATTTTTAGTAGAGATAGGGTCTCATTATGTTGCTCAGGCAGGTTTGCAATCCTCCCACCTTAGCCTCCCAGTGTTGGAATTACAAGCATGTCACTGCACCCAGACAAGATTTTTAAAATTCTACATGAAATTAGTTTTCATGCTTCCAACTAATTGCTCTCCTAAAGTTTGTTTTCTTCTTTTCTGGCTGTAAGTGGAGAGAAGGTAATGATAGAGGAAACCAACAGAAGGAATAAGAGCATGTTTTCTTTCTCTTCAGCCATCTAGTCTCCCTCTAGTACCCTTTATTAGCATATATATATATATATGTAACAAGATTATATACACATACATGTATATACATATACATGTATGTGTATGTATATATATCTGTATCTACATATAATGTTTTTTTTTTGAAATGGAGTCTTGCTCTGTCACCCAGGCTGGAGTGCAGTGGTGTGATCTCAGCTCACTCCAACCTTCCAGGTTCAAGCTATTCTCCTGCCTCAGCTTACCAAGTAGCTGGGACTACAGGCATGCACCATCATGCCTAGCTAATTTTTTATTTTTAGTAGAGATGGGGTTTCACCACGTTGGCCAGGCTAGTCTTGAACTCCTGACCTCAAATGATCCCTCTGCCTTAGCCTCCCAAAGTACTGGGATTACAGGCATGAGCCACCGTGCCTGGCCTATTAGTATATATTTTGAACAAGGAGCAACTGGTAAAAAAATGTGGCTTGCCAAGTTCCAGTCCTAATGTCACAAGAATATATAAGGGTGTGTTTAGAACTGAAAGAAAATAACAGCTGATACAATTCATACTTACTTTATACAAAACTTTATTCATTCTATATGAAATTGTTTTTATGCTTCTGATTAACAGCAGTCCTAAAGGTAGTTTTATTCAATTGCTTTTTTCTTTTCTCTATCATATGAGATAATGATCTAGGTAATTTTTAATTTTTTAAAAAGTAGACAGTGTCACTCTGTTGCCCAGGCTGGAGTGCAGTGGCACAAACCTAGTTCACTGCAGCCTTGAATTCCTGTGCTTAAGTGATCCTCTTGCCTTATCTTCCTGGAGTAGCTGGGACTATAAGAATCTACCACTGCACCCAGCTAATTATTAAAATTTTTTTTTTTATAAAGATGGGGTCTTGTTTTGTTGCCCAGGCTAGCCTTGAACTCCTGGCTTCAAGCAGTCCTCCTGCCTTGGTCTCCTAAAGTAATAATTTTAAATAAATCCAACCAACAGATATTTGAGCATCCACGAAGAGTATTACATTAAGCCTGGAGATATTTATTAATATGATATTGTCTATTACATGTGGAAAGTGTGTTAAGCATGAGGATGAAAAGGTAGAAAATGCCTTCTGTCCTCATAGGTTTGGGGAAAAAACAAGACTATTCAAAAAAACGCACTGTTTTTCTAATAATAAGCTTAGATTGAGAACTCCTAACACTAGCATAAACTTCTGTGGCATTTAGTGGTTATGAAATATAAGATTCCTTATCTGCTAAAAACTAATACCTCCAGGGAAAACCCATTACCATTTTTTTATATGATGCAAGTGTTCTAATTTCATCCAATGGCATAACACTGTTAACAATATTATCTGCCATTTATTTAATATTAGTAGCTATCCTTAAAATCAAATTATCTACAAAGCATGAATTAACCTTAAGATTTTAAAAATATGTTATTTGTCCAATATAGGTAATATTTACAAATATATACGGAAATAGACTGATTCATTATCACAAGGTGGGTTTCTCTATTCTATTTAAATACAAGATTTATGCTTTATCTGTCTAGCCTTATTCCCTTCTCATGGTTAAAAAGAAAAACCACAATTCCTTAGGCAAGCTGGGAAACATGCAAGTTTGTTTTCTTTTCTTCTTTTGAGGAGTTTCACTTGTTGCTCACCCTGGAGTACAATGGCATGATCTCAGCTCACTGTAACTTCTGCCTCTCGGGACAAGATATTCTCCTGCCTCAGCCTGCCATCTCTACTATTTTTTAGTAGAGACGTGGTATCACTATGTTGCCAGGCTGGTCTCGAACTCCTGACCTCAGGTGATGTGCCTGCCACAGCCTCCCAAAGTGCTGGGATTACAGGTGTGAGCCACCGTGTCTTGCTGCAAGTTTGTTTTCTGAATAGACACTAAATATTAGCTAGAAACAGTGTCTGGGCCACTTTCATTCGAATATATATTTATTTAGAATGCACACTAACAGCATGATGATAAACTGTCATTCACAAACCTGTACCAAGAGGCACATAATTTTTAAAATGTGTTGTTTTTCACAAGTAATTTAAGTATAGCATTATTATCATTTGGTACTTGAGTCAAAGACGACATTTAGATTCTTCAGCTTTGAGGCGTTTCGTAACATTATTGTCTAGTCAGGCAGAGGAAAGAAATTCAAAAGCAGTTTCTTTTTCTTCTGTCAGTTCCTTTGCAGTAAGATCCATCTTCTCACGTGAGAAATCATTAATAGGGAGACCTTCAACGAACTTCCAGGTCTTATTCTGTTTGAAAATAATGCAAATAAGAGATTTAAATGGGAACCGATCTTCCAAGAAGCAACAACCTAGTTTGAATTTATATTTATTTGTTTTAAAGTCTGATTCTAAAGAAGTAAATCAGAATCCAGATCTTAATAGATAATTCTAATAAAAACTCAACACTTGAATTTAAAACCCCTTGAATCTAAATTAAAAAAAAAGAACTTTAAAAATGATTGACTTTAGCACAGTTATAATAAAGAGCAACAACACTGAAAGACTTTACTTCATTCAGAAATATACTGTTTGTAGGTCTCTAATACTAGAGGCATAGTAACATACTGTGTCTAGTGGGAAGAGCTGAATCTTCCTTTCCAGATTAATTTCAATCACAAAAACTTTTAATGACCTGAAGTTGAAATACATATTGTTTTAAAGCTGAGAAAAATGTCTACTTTAGTAAAGGAACAATTTTCTAGATGAAGTCATACCATTCTGTTTTTGGGGGGTACAGGGTTCCACTCTGTTAACAAGGGCGTGGTACAGGGGTACTGTCATGGTTCACTGCAGCCTTGACCTCCTAAGCTCAAGTGATCCTCCTACCTTGGCCTTTCTTTTTTTTTTTTTTTTGAGACGGAGTTTCGCTCTTGTTACCCAGGCTGGAGTGCAATGGCGTGATCTCGGCTCACCGCAACCTCCGCCTCCTGGGCTCAGGCAATTCTCCTGCCTCAGCCTCCTAAGTAGCTGGGATTACAGGCATGCACCACCACACCCAGCTAGTTTTTTTGTATTTTTAGTAGAGACGGGGTTTCACCATGTTGACCAGGATGGTCTCGATCTTTCGACCTCGTGATCCACCCGCCTCGGCCTCCCAAAGTGCTGGGATTACAGGCTTGAGCCACCGCGCCCGGCCCTACCTTAGCCTTTCAAGAAGCTGGGACAAGTGTGCACCACCATGCCTGGTTATTTTATTTTTGTAGAGATGGGGTCTCACTATGTTGCCCAGGCTCGTCTTGAACTCCTGGGCTCAAGCAATCTTGCCACCTTGGCCTTCAAAAGTGTTGGGATTATAGGAGTGAGCCATTGTGTTTGGCCAGTAATACCATTCTTAAACAGATAACTACTTTCTCAAAGAAGGGAAATCACTCCAAAATACCTTACCTTGATTACAACAGGGAATGAGTAGAGCAGATCATCAGGAACACCATAGGAGTTGCCATCAGAGATAACACCCATGGACACAAACTCTCCCTGAAAATAGCAATGTTTCACATTCTCATGGTGATTAGTTCATACAACTGACACATGAACTAATAAAATTAAACCAGGTGACCCTTTCTTACAATGTTCATAACATCATTACTATGTAAGGAACTATTATCAGCAACAGGTACTTCCACAACAAGATAACTTTCGTGGATATTATTTCATTCCATTCTTCCATATCATATGTGAAGTAGGCCAGGGAAACCTAATCCTCATTTTGCAGATGAGGAACCTGTGGACTAGAAGAAAAAATTTCACCCCTACTGTGTGTCAGGCATTGTGCTGTTTTCCATATTTAATCTCCTTTAGCCCTCACAATCCTGTGTATAATAGTAATGTCATGTAAAAGATGACAAAACAGCTCAGAAAGGTCAAGGCTAAGAAACTCCAAAGGTTACATAGTTAGAAGGCAGCTGAGCTAAGAAATGAACGTAACCTGACTGTAGCAAAGGCTATATTCTTTTATATTATAGTATCAGGCAACAAAAATAAAATAGTGACCTGTGTAAATGACTAAATCTTTACCTCTGGGGTTCCAAACCAGATGTCCCTGACGTGGTCACAGATGGCTTTTGCAGCAGACATTGCACTGGATAGTTTTCGAGCCTTGATGACAGCAGCGCCACGCTGCTGCACAGTCTGGGAAGGGGGCAGGCAAAGGCAGCAGTGTTATTTGATCATGACAGCAAAATTTTCATTGATTCCAGTGGACCCTGGGGTGAAAGGCTATGTCCAGGGCTTAATGTGTCCCCTCCAAAATCATGCAACAACCCAATGTTACCTTTACCAATCCTGGAAAAAGAAAACTATATATCCCCATACAAAGTTTATCATACTTCATGCAAAGACATGGATTTTGGTATAAATCTCAACTGCTATGCTACAGAGCGCATCAGATCAGACTGGATCATGACTGGCTTACTATGATCCCGAAAGTATGCAGTCATCAGAGCAACTGCGAAAGACCTGCTCTCCTTGAAGGTTTCCTGTCCTAAGTGTCTCTCAAGAGTTTTTATGCTCAGCTGTTACGAAGGCTCACAGATTTTTCTTACTGTGACAAATTCTCCCTTGAGCCAGTTGTCATCTTTCAGAGCTTCATAAACACCAACTTCCTTTCCTTGCAATTTCACCTTGGCATGGTTGACATCTGGATACTGAGTCGAGGAATGGTTTCCCCAGATAATGACATTCTTTACATCATTAGCAGTCACACCAAGTTTAAGAGCAATCTAGTTAAATTGAAAACAAATACATTACTTAAGACTAATGCTTTTTATTTACAACTGGGACCTGTTTTGACAAATGCCCTGTAAAGATAAAAAGCTTCTGAAATTTCAAGAGGACACGAGTTATATTGACTTGTAAAAAATGTAAATTTATTGCTTGGCAATTTCCTTCAACAGCTTTACAGTGGTAACAACTGTGGACGTGAAACTTTATGGAGTAAAATGTTTAAAAGTAGGAAGCATCCCAGAGTTTGTTGTTAACGTATTCGTACAGTACGTGTATCGAATATGAAACATTAATCAAGTTACTATTTATTAATTTACTATTTCTTTAATATGTAAATGTGATCTTTTGTTTCATTGTTAATGTTTATTTGGAGATGTCTTCTCAGTGCTTCTGAGTAATCAGGTATTTGGGCACTTTCTATGTACGTAAAAATTTTATTATATATCATATACAAACTATTTTCAAATAATCCTAGATATAAAATTTTAGAGTTGCATGGGACTCAAATTACCAAGATATGACTGTTCTCATTTTATGTATCAGGAAACTGAAGGAAAGAGGTTTTCTCTATAAATATATGTGTGTATTTGTGTGTACACACATATATACACACTAAAATAACATATGTAACAACCTCTAGCTGTAACTCCAGAAAACACTTTAGGGTCTTGCAATGCCTTGCAATCACATGTAGTTTAAGTAGCCACAAAAAAGGTTAGAAAGTTATGTCTCGATAGATTTAAATAAAGCAAAATCAGCTTGCTTATTTGTCTGATAAGTTTATGTAAAGAAAAGAAATTATGACCAGGTGTATGTATAATTTGTTCCTAATTAGACAACAGAATTTATGATGAACTAGAAGGGAATGTGGAAAAATATTTTAAGAAGCTGATATGTTTTGATGACATTGTGGGCAATCCTTCCTTGTGTCCCAGTAAGAATGGAGAGAAAATTAGTTGTTCCAGAGTCTGTAGCTTTAGCACACATAACGCAGCATTTGAATATTTACCATGTGATAAAGGGAATGCACTTTGATATTTTAAGGAAAATTTTAAAACAAGGGTAATAACAGCTCTAAACTGGAAACAACTCAAATGTCCTTCAAGAATGGTTAAATATGCTGGGCACAGTGGCTCATGCATGTAATCCCAGCACTTTGGAAGGCCGAGGTAGGTGGATCATGATGTCAGGAGATTGAGACCATCCTGGCCAACATGGTGAAACCTTATCTCTACTAAAAATACAAAAATTAGCTGAGTGTGGCAGTGCGTGCCTGTAATCTCAGCTACTCCTGAGGCTGAGGCAGGAGAATTGCTTGAACCTGGGAGGCGGAGATTGCCATGAGCTGAGACTGTGCCACTCTACTCCAGCCTGGTGACAGAGCTAGAGTCCTTCTCAAATAAAATAAAAGAATGGTTAAATAAACTATACTGTCTTATATATACAATAGAATAAATAAAAGATGTGTGGAAAAACAACAAAAAGGAACAACCAACAACCTGGATGAATCTTAAAGGCACTGAACTGAGTGAAAAAGAGCCAGTCTTGAAAGGTTCCTTATTGCATGATTCCATTATTGTAACATTCTCAAAATGACAAAATTGTAGAGGTGGAGTACAGATAAATGATGTCAGGGACAAAGAAAGAGGGAGGTGTGATTATAAGAGAGAGTATGAAGCAGTTATTTTGTGAGTGATGAAGAAATTGTGAAAAATAAGTTAATGTAAAACTGGTGAAACTTCAGTAAGTCTAGTTAATAATATTGTGTGTAATTTATCGACTTCCTGGTTTTGATAGTACTCTGTAGTTATGTAAAATGCCATCAATGGATGATGGGTACATGACACTTCTCTGTACTATTTTTTTGCGACTTTAGAGTCTAAAATTATTTCAAAATAAAAAGTAAAAAAAACTCCAACCAACCAAAAAGGATAAAGATAAAGAAAAAGGCCATTACCTAAAATGTCTGGAATGTCTTGACTGGTCTTCACACTAATTTATTCTGTTAAGAAGTAAACTGTCTTCACTTTCACTGTTAAACTAGTTGAGACTGCTTTCTTAAATCCTAAAATCGTTAGTCTAAAAAAGTTTACTTAAAAATTTGGGCACGGTGGCTCAAGCCTGTAATCCCAGCACTTTGGGAGGCCGAGGTGGGTGGATCATGAGGTCAAGACATCGAGACCATCCTGGTCAACATGGTGAAACCCTGTGTCTACTAAAAATACAAAAAATTAGCTGGGCATGATGGTACATGCCTGTAATCTGAGCTACTCAGGAGGCTGAGGCAGGAGAATTGCCTGAACCCAGGAGGCGGAGGTTGCGGTGAGCCGAGATCGCGCCATTGCACTCCAGCCTGGGTAACAAGAGTGAAACTCTGTCTCAGAAAAAAAAAAAAAAAAAAAAAAAAAAAAAAAAAAAAAAAAAAAAAAAAAATTTCTGTCTGTGATAATGTAAATCACTTGACAAACCTAATCCCTGCTTCATATAGTTTTACAAGTATTAGGACTATTATCTATAATATTTGCATTAGTCTCTACAAATTAGTTGGTTGGTTGGTTTTTGGGGTAAACAGCTATTGATCTGCTTAGCCTGTAGGGTATGGTAGAGTAGCAAGGTGTTCAACCATTTTTCACGTGTGCCATGACCTGAAAGAACTGGGGAAGAAATTGCAGAAGAAGTTGCTCTTACTTACATTTATACTTAAATTTAGCTAGTTCAGTATTTAAAAAGATAAAATATATACCTTGAACAATTAACTCAAGATATATATTACCAAGAGCTTAGAGCCCACAACTCCTCTGAATGTCAGCTTCAATGCTCCAAAGTACAGTGAAGACAAAATGCCTCTAGGCCTCTCCACCCTGTCCTCCTTGGCTCCTCTGCCTTCCTTTGTTCTTGTTGCCCTCCTCCTCTTGCTCCTGTGATCTCTTGAGCTAATCCAGTTCTGTCAGGACAGCAAAGGCCAGGTACTTTGCATCCAGAAGACATAATTTCTTAATATGATTCATGTCACAGCTAGTCTAAATTAATACATAACCAGAATAACAATTCTTTGCTCCCTTAGACACTCATGTCTGTCATATAGGTCTGTTAAAGTTTTTGATTAATTCTCCAGCCCTAGTAATTTTCTTCCATGTGATACCAGCTAACTGGTATCATTGTCAAATAACCTTATCATTATAAGACATAAATATCATATCAGCAGACATAAATACAGCGCTGGCTTGCAAATACACAGGGAAGTTCTACAGGTGATAAACAGTCACTAGCTAAGGCCTCCGAATTCTAAGACAAAAAACCTAGCAACCATTCCTGTAAGGAAAACTTATCTTCGGGTTATTTTTCTCACTGGATAAATAACTTCTTTGAGGAAGAAAGTGGTTCTTCAGAGACTCCCTAAAAGCTCTCTCTATGCCAGAGTGACATGCTGAAATAGTGCCTAGCCAAGGGCCTGGGAATAACAAAGAACATATCCCAAAGTGAAGGTTAAAGTCTGAGGGGATAGCACTTTCTTTGCTTATTCAGAGTTTAGCCCTGCAATGAAAACTGTTTCAGACACTAGGACAAAGCATCTCTTAGTAGTACCTTTGGAAGCAGAATTTTCCAAGGCCTGTCTCCACCAAAGCCTCAGGTTAAAGAGCAAAAAGTGGTTGTCAGTGTCATTATGCTACCTCTTTCTTCTAACTAAATAAGTCACTTTTTTTGGCAATCCAGAGTTTACAACTGTAACACCTATAATATCTCTTCCTTTACAACTATCCCAAAATGCCCAAACCTCCTACCTCCATTCATTCAAACAAACTCCTATTCCTTCTCAGCTACCACCAGACCCAGCCCACCGCCTAAAGCCTTTCAGGGAATATTTGCACTTTAAGCTAAAAATTTAAGGGTTGTTAGATATCTAACAACCCCCTAAATTAGGAATGTTTAGGCTGTATGCCTCTTAGAAATAAAAACAAAATCAACTAATAATAATAGCAGCCAACCTTTTTTGCGTTTTACTATGTGCAGACACCTTGCTGAGGGCTTAAAATGGATCTTATTTAATCCTCATAAGAACTCTCTGAGGTCGATATAATTATTATTACATTTTATACATTGAATACACTTTCTCAAAATTACAGAGCTAGTAAGTGGACTAAGGGCAATTGGTAACATTAGGTAAGAACATACATAAGGGTTTGGAGTCAGGCAAATCATGGTGGCTCCATAATTTATGAGGTGTATGACTCAGCAGGTTCCCTGACTTCCTTGGGCCTCAGGTTTCTTACCTAAAGTAGGGATAATATGAGATACCTCATAATATGGTTACTATAAAAATTAAATGGAAAATTATATGTCTAGCATTCAATTTGCAGTAGATGCTTAACAAATGTGTATTCTTTTCTCTTTCACTAGGCATTCCAGAGCTGAAGGATTATTGAATCTCAGTTTAGGGTAGTAGTGCTTCAACTTAGACCTCACAGCATCTTCTGGTTAACAACTTTTTTTTTTAAACTAAATAAAGTTATCTTCTCTAGAAGAAAACACTGAACTCATAAACCTATCTAGCAGTGATGACCTACAGCCAAGAAGGAATGGCCAGAAAAGCATTAGGGCAAAGAGGTTCTGCCCAAAACTAGAACTTTTTTTTTTTTTTTTGGGAGACGGAGTTTCGCTCTTGTTACCCAGGCTGGAGTACAATGGCGCAATCTCGGCTTACCACAACCTCCGCGTCCTGGGTTCAGGCAATTCTCCTGCCTTAGCCTCCTGAGTAGCTGGGATTACAGGCACGCACCACCATGCCCAGCTAATTTTTTGTATTTTTAGTAGAGACGGGGTTTCACCATGTTGACCAGGATGGTCTCGATCTCTCGACCTCGTGATCCATCCGCCTCGGCCTCCCAAAGTGCTGGGATTACAGGCTTGAGCCACCGCGCCTGGCAGTACTTTATCATGACTTCCAACAGCACCAGGACCAGTTAGATCTGAAAAAGCCTAGGAAACTAGCTCAGATCAGTGGCTTGGCTTCTAATTTTTTGAAAAGCTATTGTTAATTCCCCAGTCACTGGTTCTTCAGAATATTTATCTATGGATCAAAGGATAAAGAAAATTAGCAACAGAGTTTAGGTCCTAAGTAGTGAAAGTAGGAAACTTTACAGATACACACAGAATATTAAAAAGACATAAAATTGAAAACTAAATTAAATATAAAATTAAAAATTAAAATCTGAATTTGATTATTTAGCTGCAGGTAAGATAGAAGCAGAACCACATAATCACACAATGCTCAAGTTCTTTGTGTATATAATTTCCTACATATCGGACAAAAATTGAACTAAATTATATATCATAATGTATAACAAATTTTTAACCACCGTAACAAGAGAACATTAGTAACTGCATTTAATTATAGTTAGCAATAGAAATATAGTTAAAGACAAAAACCAAGTAGGAAGTCCAGCCTCTGGTCCTTTACAAGAATATATTTAAAGATTCCCTAACATATTAATGATAATTTACTCTTAATTTAATAAAAGTAATAGGTTCCTACTAAACAAAAATAAGAAAAAAAAGCACAAACTCAGATTCAGTTATTTTACAAGTGAGAGAAAAATGTTTTAAAGATGAACATTTATAAGATTTAAGACTTATGAATTTTTCTTACTTGAGCTTTAGCTCGGTTGTGATCCAAACGGGTCAAACAACTGAAGTTCTCCTTGGGGATGGATGGAGCTGACTTGGAGGCAGTCAGGCAGTTGGTATTGGCTGGATTACCCACAACAATAACCTATGAGGAATGGAAGGCACAGAAGAGTTACAGACTATATACTTACTAACTAAGCTACGTTAAAATTTGACAGAAAATGTCTAACAGGTAGCCTTTGTGCAGGGGACGCTTGGGAAACACTATATAGCATAGGAAAATGCATTTTAAGTTATAAAATCTTTAATAAAATGATAAATTTTGAAATAATATATTTATAGAAAAGTCATAGCATATTATATGACTCCCATGTATCTTTAGTCTTTTTTTTTTTTTTGGTACCTCTTTTGACAAGCTGCAGACAAGATACTTCATTGCCTCTAGGTACTGCAGTGCTGGTGAATATTTCTCACAAACAAGGACGCTTTGTGGAGGTGGAATTACTATGCAAGGAATACTACACCTCCAAAAAGCTTGGAATTTAGCAGTCTGAACAACCTTGTAATCTTTTATTGGGACCTGAGGATTTCTATTCAACTTTTATTATTTTCTGTGATTACGGAAAATAAGTGAGCTATTTAAAATTAAGTCCACAGAAAGCAAAAATGCAGATATCTATGAAATATCATAGATAGAACATTATAATGGGCAACTTAAAAAAATCTTGAAACGTTTTCTTTCATTTTTTTTTTTTCAAAGTCAAGATAGTAAAGTATACAGAAATCAGTTTAACCTTAACCAGCAGGCCTATTTGCTGTATGACAAGTAAGTTCTAGTTAATTAATAGTTCGCTAATAAAAGGTTTGGCTGGGGTGGGCAGTTGTGGCTCATGCCTGTAATCCCAGCACTTTGGGAGGGCGAGGTGGGTGGATCACATGAGGTCAAGAGTTGTAGGCCAGTCTGGCCAACATGATAAAACACCGTCTCTACTAAAATTCAAAAATTATCTGGGCATGGTGGCATGCACCTGTAGTCCCAGCTACTCGGGAGGCTAGGATAGGAGAATCGCTTTAACCTGGGAGGCAGAGGTTGCAGTGAGCCAAGATTGCGCCATTGCACTCCAGCCTGGGTAATAGAGGAAGACTCCATCTCAAAAATAAAATTAAAAAAAACAAAAAGGAAGGCTTATTGTAATATTAAGACATATTTAGAAACCTGAGCATTCAGAAACTACCATGTTCTACTCCTGAGAATAAACTTACCTTATGGCTAGCTATCTGCTTTCAGAATCACACAGAAACCCAAATGTCTGAATAAATATTCCCACACAGCAAAAATGCATCAAAATGTCCTATGCCTTCTTTATAGGTTTAAGAACTAATATTAAATTTTCACATTATACTAACAGGAAAAATATTTTTGAGTACTCTGAATATAGATTTCTATACTATAAGAAAAAACCCAGAAAGAGAGAGCTTAATGAGCAAAACGCTATAGCCGTATTTACTGATGATTGTACAGAACTAGAAAAAAGGGCAAATAATTTTGGTTTTACTTAAATGCTAAAAGCATAAGTTTCAAATGCTAATAATGAAAAGATCCCATAAAATACAGTGTTGGTCACCTTAACTGACTTCTTTGCGTATTTATCCAAGGCCGCACCCTGGGATTTGAAGATTTTCACGTTTGCTTTCAGTAAATCTTTTCTCTCCATGCCCTCCCTTCTTGGCATGGAGCCTACAAGAATGGCCACATCCAGGTCTTTGAAGGCAACCTCTTCTTTATCTGTTGCGATGACATCTGTGGACATGGCAATAAATATGCAGAGCTATTTAAACACCAAAGTTTGAAGTTTTCTTTTTCATATTGAATCTACCCATTAATTCTTTCACTTGTTTCAAGTGTTTACATATCACACTGATATACATTTCAGGATCCTAAGAAAAGAAAGGTAATACATTAATTTAACAATCGTAACATCAGAAATGTCAATAGATGCATTTTGTTTTTCCTATTTCAATAATTACCTTAAATTTCAAAAATTCCATAGCTTTTATCTTTTATAATCATATATGATGCAAGGTATAACGATGACTTTTGAAGCAACACTTATTATTCACATGAATTACCACATAACACAAAAGAGCAACTAATTCACCTAATCTTTAAATTACAATTACTTTAAGGTCTAAGATACCAATCACAAATTAAAAAATCATAAACGTTTATTAAGGAGTTTTGTGCCAGTGATAATGCTAAGATATTTATATTATTAACAAATTTAATCTTCACATTTTATAGATGGAGACACTGAGGTTTAAAGAGATTAACTCGCCACCTTCAAAAGACAATGGAGCTGTAATTCCAGCCTAGGTTGGTCCAGAGTTCAACCACTATGCTCCAGTGCTAGTACAGTAAGCACACATAACTTGCTTTTTGACTAAGAACATATATCATCGTACTTCTTTGTTGATTATATTAAAAAAGCTATGATCAACATTTAGCATTTTCACTGGAAAATTGGCCATCATAGTTGCATCATAGTCAAGGCTGCCATAAATCTGAAAATGGGCCTAGGCAGGAACACCAGTTGGAGGAAAAAAAAAATATCTTCCTCTTCCTAGTCACACATCCTTATTTGCTTAACTTTCCCTTCCCTGTCATATTCACATCTGGCAGGGGACAAACTGACTACAATCTGGGCCCTTCAGAGAAAGCACAGGTAACTCAGCAGAAAAAGGAATATAAATGGGAAAAAGCAGCAAAGCTGATTTGGAAAGAGTTGTGGGTGAGAAAAGGGAACCAACAGAATAGTGTGGGCAGTCATGTATTCTTCTACGGAACTATGCAACCAAAAGACTTAGATGGCAGAGTATCCCTTCTAGCAAATGTTTATTCAACAGATGAAAAATTTTACGGAAAGTTTTTCTTGGGAGGTATATATTATTTTGCTTAGTGCAAACTTCTAGGAGAGTATCATTAATTAATCCCTACTCCCAAAAAAAGACTATATGAAGCTATAGCTAAAGAAGAATATTCCAATTAACTTAGAATTATTTTAATAAACTTCAATCAAATTTAAGGCCTCCTTACCATATTTGTGGTATAGTTCAATGCTTTGCAAAGGCCCTTATCTGAGCTCTTCTGAGTGTTTTGCAAACTATACAGCATATGGTAGACTACATAACACAATGTAGACAATTCCTACAGTGTCTATAATGTATATGTGTAGACAATGTCAGGCATATAACCCTTATGCAATATTATACTTAACTGGCATAATAAATCATGTACACACACATTTGGGAAAAACGGATAGTCCTTTACCTGACCCTGATATTATAAAATCCTTTCTCTATCCCTAACTCACCTTTCAGGAGGGGAAGGGCACAGTCTTGAAGTTCCATTAGGACACCGTCCAGGACACCCATCATGGGGGTGATATCCAACAGCACAAGAATTATAGGCTACCAAATATCAAGAACAGTATCTGTTAGTGTAGGCTATTTCATTTAGACACAAGACAGTCTTTTCACAGTTTTTATTTGGTATGTACATGCATATAATTCCCATTAATTAGTCATGATGATTATTTTAGGACGTCAGGTATCTAGTACTATGCCCTTTCAGAAAAAAGAATGCTATAAAACCAGCACCAGTTTGCTAACACACAGTGAGAGGAATCACCATTACTCAATTATGTTTGATTTCAGTTCATGGAAAGCTAAGTCCAGTATCTGACATGAAAGAAGAATTCAATATCCATGGGTCAAGAAATGGAATAAATGAATACCTTAGAAAAGGATTTTACAGTAAATTAATCAGGCTTTTTGGAAATGGGAGCACCTGCTTCTATTGGGAAGCAGATTTTCTGACTATTTTGGTTCTAAAGGCCATTTATGAACAAGGAAGTGTTCATTGAGCAACTTTTTCTCCCACATGACTATAAGTTACTGTCATTAGTGTTATCTCCCATTGACTGACACCTGCTGGTTGCACCAAGTCAACTAAGTACAATATGGAAGAGTTCTCATTTGCAAAGTGCTTTCAGTGCCTGGAGGAATACATATAAATACCTTACTAGCTTCCATTTATAGCAATATGCCTATTACATTTCTTGGGATTACCTATTCCTTCATTGTTTTACAATTTGTGTACAACTAAATACAGAATTTAATTAACCATATTCTTATTCTAATAACTTAAGATTTATAGACATCTGTTCCTACCTGGTCTTTACCAAAGACAGATCCATTTCCAATACTGTACAGCAGTGAATATGCAATCTGACCAGCCGCTCCAGTCACAAGGACTCTGATTGGTTCAGACTGTAATGAAAAAGACCCATTAACATCTCTACTGTACCTTAAAAATATCCAGTAAGAAATCTTACTATAGTAAGAAATCCACAGACTTTAAAAAAGAATGTAAAATTTTAAAGTCTCTTTGCATCTGGCTTAGTAGAAAATGAATGTGCTGCATATTTACGTGGCATTATTTAACTCTAATTATGTAGGGAGCTAAAAGTGTTATCCTGGATTTACTTACATAATCTTATCCACCTTTTTGGGGATATTTTACCACTAAAATAGGCCCAACAATGTTGATGTGCTCAGCATGTGATGATCCAGACCCTGGCGGCCACTAGAACTGCATAAATCCTTATTATGCAAAGCCCCCACTCCCATCTGTTCAATAGAATCTTCATACCAAGAAGAGGAGTAAGAGGCTAAAACTTTCCATTTACATTGAGCCAAAACATTTAAATAAGACAGTCATGCTTCAACTTTATTGTCTGGAGGAGGAAAAACAAGACTTTATTTTTTATTTTGGGAGAAACAAAAAGGAGAAAAATGATAATATCTGGATAATGGTATATTTTAGTATTAAATAATAATAAACAACAACAGCAACATGTAGTGACAGACAGCTGACAACCTGATTCCAAGGGAAAATTATTTTTAAAAGCAAGGAGGGGGAATACAAAGATTTCAACGGATCCTGAATAAAATACAGACATATAAACAAAGCTAACTGATATTCAAGGTGATGACTCTGAGTCATTAAAAAAAGACATAACCTAAGAGAATGTAAAAAATAGAATTTTGTGTGTGTGTGTGTGTGTGTGTGTGTTTGTGTGGTTTAAGGAACCAAAAGTTTAATAGGCAAAAAAGAAGGAAGAAGAAAACAGCTCCCCCATACATAGACAGAGAGAGGGGGATTGAACAAAGAGAAAACCCCCAAAATATTTCTATTAGAAAGAACAAAACAATAATGTTTAGAAACTTAATTGGTAAGTTTAGTTAGACAGAAAAATTCAATTAAGGTGAACCATTCCTTTCCCTGACAATGCTGGGTAAATGTCCTTCCACTGCCATCTTTACCCCTACCTGCATGGAGAAATAAATGGTCCATTGATGTGACTAAGCCTACAACTGTTTGGTTTCTTTTTATTTAAAATTCCCTCTTCCAGATGAGAATCATGCCTCAGATCAAACAAGAATGAGTAGCCTGGAAGGCTTCTTTTACGCTTCTAACTCTAAGCTCAACGTCAGCAGCACTCAGCAATTTGGTACCCACAGAAGTCAAAGGAAAAACGTTTCAAAAAAGAAGTGTCAGGCTGGTCCCAGTGGCTCACATGTGTAATTCCAGCACTTTAGGAGGCTGAAGCGGGCAGATCACCTGAGGTCAGGAGTTTGAGACCAGCCTGACCAACATGGAGAAATCCTGTCTCTACTAAAAATACAAAAATTAGCCAGGCATCGCAGCACATATCTGTAATCCTAGTTATTCAGGAGGCTGAGGCAGGAGAATTGATTGAACCTGGGGGGCGGAGGTTGCGGTGAGCCAAGATTGCATCACTGCACTTCAGCCTGGGCAATAAGAACTCAGTCTAAAAAAAAAAAAAAGTATTAACTGGTGTAGAAAAATGATCATAGCCAACTATACAATATGTTTTCTAATTTATTACTATTTATAGAAAAATCTTTAATGGCCTAAATATGTTTTTCATTCTGTCATTTCCCTTCTTTCCTTAAAGTCAAGTAGAATAGGTAAGGAAAAGGGAATAGAAGAAGAAATTATTATTATTATTATTATTACTCCCTTTCCCTTTAGAATGCAAGATTCTTAAGGACAGGAACTTTGTCTATTTTATTTACTGCTATATCTCAATTGCCTAGAAAAACTCCTGGCACATAGTTATAACTCCGATATTTACTTGAAGGAATAGCTGGGTCCTATAAAACTACCAAAAAGATGGAAATGTGTAAGAACTTTTTGGAAACATATGTAACATGCTTAAAAATTTTTTTTAAAGATATTTTATTCGTTTGTGATATTTAAGGCTGAATGCAGTGGCTCACACCTACTACCATCCCAGCACATTGCTGGGAGGCCGAGGCAGTAGATCACTTGAGCCCAGGAGTTTGAGACCAGTCTGGGTAACATAGTGAGATTCTGTCTCTTAATAAACAATTTAGCTGGGTGTGGTGGCACATGCTGTAGTTTCAGGCACTCAGGAGGCTGAGGTAGGAGAATCACTTGAACCTTGGAAGGTTACAGTGAGCCGTTACTGTGTTAGTGCACTTCAGCCTTGGTGACAGAGCGAGATCCTGTCTCAAACAAACAAAAATTTATTCATATATACTATGAAGACAAAAAAGGTATTTTATTCATATATACTATGTTTTCAGAAGGTTGGAAACTTAGTGACCACAATAGTTCCAACTATAGTTAACAAACTTATTTACGTCACTAGTACTAATGATAATGCCTTATAAATCTACTGATGAATTGCTGTCTCATTTCATTCATTCATTAAACAAAACGTGACTAAATTCCTATCATGTACTTGGTACTATTTTAGGCCAAGGAATCCATTGGTGAATCATAAGAAAACAAGAGGATAAGCCAATTCTCTAAAACAGGGGGCTAGAGAGGCTGCAGAGAGCAGTAGTTAAAGAAATTGACTCTGGAGTCAGATTTTCTGGGTTCAAGTCCTGGTTCCACAACTCATTAACTGTATGCTCTAGGACAAGTTACTTAATCTCTCTGTATTATTTCCCCATAGTAAAATGGAGACAATAATAGCAATTATCTAACAAACAGAGCAGTTTTAAGGATTAAAAGAGTTAACACACAAAGCACTAAGAACAGTAGTAGCCAGTATTTATAATTATCACAGAATTTTCCTCTAAAGACTTTAATAGCCTATGGTTTTCTATTTACATGTCTGTTGCTCTCTATTAGGCTGTGAAGCCCCCTTGAGAGCAGTCTGCCTTTGATATGAATTTGCATTTCCATATGGTGTCCAACAAGTATTTGTTGAATGAGGGAAGGTTAGAGTAACAAGTATAAACACATACTACTTCAATGTACAGCAAGCCAGGATGAGAAAAGCGGGGTGGGAGAGAGTGAAGATCACTATCTATAAAGTTTAGCCTCCCATAAGGTCACCTGTATGGTTAGAATAATGCAGTCAGTTTTAGTAGCTACTTAAAAACATGTTCACAGTTCACAGTGATGGGGTTGTGGCCACCTAATGAAGAGTTAATTCTACTTCAGCAGTTTCCTTCTGTGTCTTTGGAGAAATTACTTTAATAGGTAGGTAATTCCATCTTATTAATAGTATGAGGCTTAGTGTCTGAATGTTTGATGATGAAACAGAGAAAGAAAAGTCCAGGTCTGGTACATTGGAGCTGAAAACCAGGAGGGTGGGAGAGTCCTGCTGACTTTCACAATGTTACAGTGTGAATATAGGTTACTATTCTTTGCTCAGATATCTGGGCAGTCTGCCAAGATCCAAAGAAGGAATGTCTTTGCTCTTAGCAAGGCACCAATGATCTTCCTGCAGATGCAGGCTCTGTGCTAACTTCTCAGCTACAAAGATTGAATTTAAGTGTCTCTGTTACTCCACAGACAGATCCACATATTCCTTTTTCACTTTCTAATTTATATATATTTCTAAATCACATGTATTTCTGTAACACAAAAAATAAGCACTACCATTTACATTGCTTCATACAGTTTATTTTGCTGTCACTCCCTATAGACAACAAGCAAAGAATCCTCCCCTTTCAATGAGCTTACAAAAAAGGCTCTTTTCTAAATCTGATCATTCATACACTCTCCTGAATGGGCAACAAAATTGAGTCATGTGTGAGTTTGCTGTCAGTTTCAGCAAACTGCCAGGAAATTCTTCTTTATGTTCTGTCTCTCTGCTATCTGGCACCCCAGTGACCTTCTAGGGATGGGACCTTGCTAGGGAAAACCAGCTAAGAATCAGGAGCCCAAAATCTCTGTGACCTTGGGAAAGTTATCTGACCTCAACAGACAACATTATAAGAGTAGATAAAAATAATCTCCAAATTTCTTTTGAATTCTACAATTCCAATATTTTGAATTCCAAGGAATAAAAGCTATAAAAAAAAATCTACATGTAGATAACATAGTTGAGTTTGTATATGCAGTATGAGCTGGTAACTTCATCCAAAATCTCAGCTAGTAAAAATAAATTTTCAGAAAGTTGAGTACACTGTTTCTCCCCTGCTGCAAGACCCCACTGCAGTGGTCCCTATAAAAATAAATATTCAGAAAGACTTGATAAGTAGAAGACACAATATAGAAAAATGGATAGAGTGTGAGACTCTTGGAGCAAATTACATTCTCTCTGGGTCTCGATAAACTCAACTTAAAGATCTGAAGTGGGGAGATTCGTCAAGATGACCTTTAAAAAATCCCATTCAGTTCTAAAAGCAAAAAGTCCAAGGTTCTCAGATATTAAGTACCTCTGCTTACCTAAGGTTATTAGGACGGAAACCAATGACACCGTAATGACTAATTATGTGACAAAATATTTAGGAAACCTAGGTTTAACACCCACTGGAAATTAGCAGCTGTCTCCTCTGGCCCCCTTAAATAGGCAGAGAGAGTAATGCCCTTGCCTTGAAAACGTGTCTTTTCAGGTTCTAGAAAATTTCCAATTCATTCGAACATTTCTCCACATTCTCCAGCCATTTTAGTATTTTGGAGATAAAGTAGAAAAAACAGTCGCAACTATAAATAAAAGCCATTGTGTTTATAGTATGAAGCGATTTCTCTGAGTTTGATAACAAATGTCACCTTCAAGCAGTACGCAGATTATTCCTACGTCAGAGTTCCTTCAACAACCCTCCCCCTCCCCCTCTCTTTCAGCAGAGGCAAGAGATGGAGATCTAGGTTATCCAGGTCTTCTATGACAAAATGGTGACACTTAATGGTTACATTTAAAAGAGGTGCTTCTGGAACTCATAACATACAGTTCAATAAAGAATATGTGCAGTAGTTATCTGGCTAGTGATGCCGTCACTTCAGCATATCCTGGCATTGCAAAAGGAGGTCAATGAACGGGTTCCAAATAACATTTTGTGAAATTAGATATGGCGGAAACACCTCTCCTGCAAACGCAGATCGTAATCTGGAGCACCTGGTAAATACTACCTTTCCAGATTTTTGCTTTCAAAGGCCCTGTGACAAAAGCCCTTATAAACACTGTGGGCTAATGAGGAGAAAAAGGGGTTAGGACCCAACTTTTCCCTCCCATCGCAAACCTTATCGTCCTTATCAAACAAACCCCATAATGTCCTTCAGGAAATAGCTAAAGCTCGTATTTTGTCCTCTCGCCATGCAGCGGGATTAAGATCGTGCCTCTCCAAGGACAAATACTTCTCCAGAGTCCTCCTAAGGGCCTCCGATTGCCCTGCAAGGGGGACGTCAATCCCTTCCCAATTATTGGGTCACTTTGACAATCCCCAGAAGATGAGTCCGAGCTTTCCTAAGGGCGCGAAGGACAGTGCCTTGCAGATCTGCCTCCCAAAAGTCCCTAAAGTGCAAGAAACCCCACACAACGGCGCTAGTGCCGGAGATAGGCAGGAACCCGGGGCCCACACTCACCATGACTGAAAACTGCGAGGACAATTTCAACGCCTACAAAATGAGCCTCAGAGCCTCAGAGCGTTAGGTCACCTCTACCGCGGAACTGACTAGGAGAAGGAGAGCGGTGTTAGCGAAAAAAGGCTCCGCTCGCGACTCGGTGCTCTCTGGGAATTGTAGTTTACATTGCCCCGGTTCTGAGGCAATCGCCAAAGCGTTTCCTTCAAGTATTGAACTACACTTCCCGAGACCAGAGGGTTGTCTCACGTTCCTCTCACTGCGCAATTCGCCTATTGCAAAGTAGTCCCTGAGGATGAGCCGCTCTGATTGGAGGACGACGACACGCTCATGGTTTGCGGATCAGGGAAAAAGGATCTGCCCGATGGCGCCTGGCAATTGGCGGGAGAGACCGACACCTTAGCGACATCACCCCCACGCGTGCGACTGAGACTTCATCCTCCCTGAGGGTAAACGTGGGAGGTAAAGAGACCTTCCGCTGCGTAAAGCTGGCTCGACCCGGAAACAAAATCTTTTAAAAAACAATTCACACTCTGGAGGGGAGGGGGAATTAAGTTGCGATTACCCGACAGCTTCTGAGGTTGCTAAGCGACGAGGCGGAAGCGCGCGCACACTCAGGCCGCTGGGTAGCACCTGAGCGAACTGTGGCGGCGGCGACCCGGAGACCCTAGAGACGGAGCGAGCGTGTCGCTCCTCCCGGGTCCAGGGACTCTTGCTTAGGAAACCTCTGCCCGGGGTAGAAGCTTCTGCCCTGGTGATGAGGCGAGAGTTTTCGCGGGACGCCTACTCCGAAGCGAGCGGGAGCCGCGCTTCTTCCCCACTCCCGAGGCAGGTGAGCCCTGGCCCGAGGGCAAGGGGTTTTCTTTTAAACTTAAGAGTCAGAAATGCGGTTGTGCGCCGTCCCGCATTGCTTTTATTAACTGGGCGGATGCCTGCATGTCCGTGGGTCCCATCTCTGCTCCGAGTATGAGGGGTGTGGGAATGCAACTATTCTGGAGGGGGTGGTGCCCTGGAGTAGGCGCACCCACAACCCCGCTGTAAAATTGAGCTTTTCCAGAGTTAAATAAAAAATATTTATTGAGCATCTACTTTGTAGGAGTTGAGCCTCTCCCTTCCAGGAGGTCACAGTATTCGGATATAACTTTCTCTAAGCCCTGCGTGAATGTTGAGTTTTGCCCGTTCTCTTTTGAAAGAAACAGGGTACACTTTAAACCATCTTGAGTCTTAAAAGTTATGCCAGAACGGCATTTCTGAGGAAAGACTGGAAGCTGAATGGGAGACGCTGGTTGTTTAGTCAGTCAGTCTCAGCTGGTAAAACAATTTAAGAGGTTTCTTTAAAATTAATGCTGCTCAAGAGAATTGCTGTGCTCTTTAAAAGCTTGTTTCATGTGGGTGTTAAAAGGAAGATACGATGCTTGGGAGTAGCGTACACGTAATGAAAATGTTTAAAATATCTGTTAGATTACATTGTTATAACTTCCGTTTTTTTCTCTATTACTGATTAATGAATGCCAAGTAAAATATCTTTCAATTTTTCTCTCCGTTTGGGATGATTTACTATTTTTGGAAAGAAATGTAATGCTTTACTTTTAGCATTTATTAGTATCATACCTGAATGACTCTCCTTGTATCTCTTCATACATGTGGCTCTCAGGCAACAGACTTTCCTGGTTTTCCTCTTTTGTCACTGGTTTTCAGTCCTTCCGAGTTTTTTTGTTTTTGTTTTTTTTAACCTTATTTTTTGTGATCTCTTAACATTGGGATGCCTGCATTCTGTCTATACTCAATCCTTCAGTGAGCAAATTCATGAGTTGCATCACTTCAAACGCTACTTTTATGTCAAAAACTCTCAAATTTATGTGTCTAGTCCTGAATTAGTAGGTGTGCATTATTCTCAAGCCTAGGTTCTCTGAGTTTTACTTTTTACTCTGAGCTGTTACCAAAATGTCTCTCATTATCCTAAACCAGGCGTCCCCAAACTGCGGCCCCCTGAGGCCATTTATCCAGCCCTCCGCCGCACTTCAGGAAGGGGCACCTCTTTCATTGGTGGTCAGTGAGAGGAGCACAGTATGTGGCGGCCCTCCAACGGTCTGAGGGACAGTGAACTGGCCCCCTGTGTAAAAAGTTTGGGGACGCCTGTCCTAAACGAATTCTTCTACTAGCTGCTAAGAGAAAGATTTTTCCATGTTATTGTCTTTAAAAATCTCATGATTTTTGTCCTTGATTTACAATGAATTTTAGAAGGGAGAGTTTTTATGACCAGGTAAATTCTCACTGCAGTTCTATAGCAGGACAGGACATTCCGATACTCCCAAGACCACAAACGTGTGAGCCTCCGTATTCCCATCCAGTCCAGATATAGAAAATTGAAATCACCTGTGTGGTAGCTCATGGGCCTTGTTCTGTTTATAGCTAGTTGCCTTTGTAAATCAGGTTAAGGTGTATATTAGCACTGATTGTAAATTACCTTTCTCACGTAATGTAAGGCCAGGTGCGGTGGCTCATGCCTGTAATTCCAGCACTTTGGAAGGCCGAGGCGGTGGATCACGAGGTCAGGAATTTGAGGCCATCCTGGCCGACATGATGAAACCTCGTCTCTACTAAAATTACAAAAATTAGTCGGGCGTGGTGGTGCATGCCTGTAGCCCAGCTACTCTAGAGGCTGACGCGGGAGAATCGCTTGAACCAGGGAGGCAGAGGTTGCAGTGAGCCAAGATCGCGCCCTTGCACTCCAGCGTGGCGACAGAGTGAGACTGTCTCCAAAAAAAAAAAAAAAAAAAAGTTGCTTTTCTCAGGTAATATAATACATTTCAAGAGAAGATGTTTGGTCAGATGGGTCTGTCAGCACATTTCCAATTATATTAATAAGATTGTGTTCCCTTCCTTCCTTTTGAACTGTCTTGGTAATAACTAATGCCAAATAGCGCAATATGTCATTGCAATTTTATTGTGAGTTTGAATCTCTAGGTGGTTGATGAATGTGTGCAGACATTCATTTTTTGGTAAGGCAACAAACAGAGCATTACACTGTTATGCTATATTTGGAGATATACTTAATTTTTTTTGCGCAGCCTCGCATTATTTAGTAAGGTAATATTTAATTCAAATTGTAGAAGATGTTTGAAATACTATTCTAACAGCATCCAGGAAAGATATTAAAGGAGCATTAAGTTTCAAATCCGTGAAATAGAATGTTGGCTCTTGATACCCAAAGAGCTTTGGAACTCACAAGATCTTATGCTTTTTAATAATATGAAAGTATGTAACCTCAGCTAGGCATGGTGGCTCACACCTGTAATCTCAGCACTTTGAGAGGCTGAGGCCGGAAGAGTTGGAGTCCAAGAGCTGGAGACCAGCCTTTAATATACTGAGACCTTGTCTCTGCAAAAATTTTTTTAAAATTATCTGAGTATGGTAGCTTGCACCTGTAGTAGTCCCAACTACTCAGGAGGCTGAGGTGGGAGGGTTGCTTGAGCCCAGGAAGGAGAGGTTGCATTGGCACCACTGCACCCCAGCCTCGGTGGCAAGGTGAGATCCTCACCTGTCTCAAAAAGAAAAAAGTAAAGAAAATTATTTAACTTCATATTAATTTTATCTGTAGCATATATAAAATTGATATAGATCTAGTTAAAACACATTCATTTTAATGTTTTCTTTAATGAAGTACTATTTCGCTTTTAAGCTATTTTATAGCAATTTTGTGATAATCTGGTTCCTTTTTGTTGAAAGTAACAATGTACTATTTAGAGAGTACTGTAATGTAAAGATGCCTTTACATTGCTGTTGGTTTAAGTAGCTACATTTTTAGAAATATGTGCTTTACCATAGGATCATGTAATTAATACAGTCGTGTTAGATAAGAGTGTGATTGAAAATAGGATTATTTAAAAAGCAAGATTAAGACTTGTGAAATAAATCGGAGACCAAATTATTATACACACACATATACATATATAAATATATATATATTATTATTACTATTTTTTGAGATGGAGTCTAGTTCTGTTGCCCAGGCTGGAGTGCAGTGGCCTGATCTTGGCTCACTGCAACCTCTACCTCCTAGGTTCGAGCAATTACCCTGCCTCAGCCTCCAGAGTAGCTGGGATTACAGACGTGTGCCACCACTCCCAGCTAATTTTTGTATTTTTAGTAGAGATGGAGTTTCACCATATTGGCCAGGCTTGTCTTGAACTCCTGAACTTGTGATCTGTCTGCCTCGTCTTCCCAGAGGGCTGGGATTATAGGTGTGAGCCACCGCAACTGGCCATATTACAAATTTTTTTTTTTTTTTGAGACGGAGTTTCGCTCTTGTTACCCAGGCTGGAGTTCAATGGCGCGATCTCGGCTCACCGCAACCTCCGCCTCCTGGGTTCAGGCAATTCTCCTGCCTCAGCCTCCTGAGTAGCTGGGATTACAGGCACGCACCACCATGCCCAGCTAATTTTTTGTATTTTTAGTAGAGACGGGGTTTCACCATGTTGACCAGGTTGGTCTCGATCTCTCGACCTCGTGATCCACCCGCCTCGGCCTCCCAAAGTGCTGGGATTACAGGCTTGAGCCACCGTGCCCGGCACAAATATTTTTTAAAGGAAAGACTGCAGAGCTAAGTAGTTGACCTTAGCTGAAAATAAAACTTTGGCTTTTTACTTTTTTTACTATTTAAGTATAATGCTAGGTATCTTGGAAATTATTTGGTTGGCTTAAATGACATGCATGACATTTTCGAAAGTATTCTTAAATTTCTAAAATGAATATGTAGTATTTTAAAAAATAACTATTCACTTCAGTGAATCTTAAACATAGTAATTCCAAATTTAGTTATGGCAAAAATAAAAGTGCTTGTAACTTAATTTAAAATTGTAGTCACAATGAGAACCACTTTATTACTATGTCTTACAATTTTATAGGTACACAATTTGCACACATTTTAAACTATAACATTGGACTAGAATTTTCAGTAGTGGTGAAATACAGGATATTTTAATAGAATAAAAGTTTTAATTGTGATTTGGTCAAGTGGTAGAATTGAGTGAATAATTTGCCAGCACCTCCTCTTTTAACTCTAGATAAAACAAGATAAAACATGATTCATCAGGATTCTGTTTGATAATTACATTTTTCCAGAAGTATGAGCTACCTAACCTTGCATTTTGTCAAGTGGAAGTAGAATTTATTGGTTTTAACTTTACTACCTACCTGTGTGACCTTGAACAAATTTCCTGGTCTTTAAGCCTTCATTAATGAAACGAGGCTAGTAACACAGAGTGATCATTATGTCTGGAAACATAATGTAGCAATTCCATTACTTTACATACTCATTTAACTCAAGAGATGTACAAGATGTTCGTAAGCACTGTTTCTAAGAGCACAACTCTAGAAATTACCCACGTGGCCATCAATAAGAAATGTAAAAATATATTGAAAATGAATAGAACATAGCTACACACCAGCATGGATGAGTATCAAAAATACAATGTTGATTGAAAAAAGCAAACCATATAAGAATGTATACACTATGATTTCATTTTTATAAAAATTAAATATTTATAACAAATACTGTTATTCACGATTTCATACACATCTGGTAAAACCATAAAGAAGAGCAGAGGAATGATTCAGAATTCAGGATAGTGGTTGCTTGGGGAGGAGAGTAAGAGAGGGTACTGGGGTCTTCAACATATTGGTAATCTATTTCTTTTTAAGCTGTGTTAGTATGTGGGAATTTATTCATTAAGTTATTTATTTTGAGTTGGTCTCACTCTGGTTCCTAGGCTGGAGTGCAGTGGTATGATCATATCACTGTAGCCTCAAATTCCTGGGCTCAAGTGACAC